AATAACGAGCGTTCAAATAAAAACGTGGTCAAGTTGGTTCTGAAAATTTGGACCTAGGGCGTAGCGTATAGCAAATGAACTTAAAAGTCATCTGTCAAAGCGCTGTATCGACGCTTTGTTATTGAAACTGACAGCTGCTATACAGCTCGTTGAGAAATGAGGTTGAGTTGGTCGCTATAAGCTACGCCCTAGTCCAATGTGTCAGAGCCAACTTCGACCACGTTTTTATTTGAACGCTCGTTATAAAGAAAAAGTAATCTTTTTGGACACAGAACACCCTGTAGAAATATTACCCCCCAATTTCGGGCAGCCTGTATATTTCATTTTTGCAATAAGTATTTCATTCTAAAATTTTTTTTTCTGTTCATTCATTAATCATTAGTAATATTTTTGGTTTTCCATTTAAAAATTAAAGTAGCAAAAAAAATCCACTACAACTGCAGGCTAATTATATTTGAAATCGCATTATATTCCAAAGAGGCACACCTGCTAGAGCTGTCAACTGCGAGTCAGCCGATACATGTAGCGTGCGCGCTCTACTACTCCCCAAATACGTTTCACCGCCGGAGATATACACTTCCCCTCTCTTGCTTAGTAATTGTCCAAAACATGACATAAATTTATTTAATTTTAATAAACAATAGCATAAAATCGATGTAAAATTACCCTGGAACACGATGGTGCAATTATTTTTTTGCTACTTGCCGTAGTTTACGAGATATTTGCGAAAAATCTTATTTTTTACGGTTTTTTGACCTTTTGACCCCTTTCCTGACCACCAGGTCAAAAATGTTTGCGGATTCGGATTCCTGAGGGTCGAAAACATATTTGCGCCCAGGTTTGATCGACAGAGGAAAAAATGGAGGTTCAGCCTTCATTTCAATGGACTAAGTGTTGTTTATCATTAACATACAGCTAACATGACGTAGTATCTATCTATCATGCCGTTGAGTAAATTTTTTTCATGCTTGTACCAACTAACCTAAAACTGAATAAAATTTCTTAATACCGTAGTATGAGACACCTGATAGCCCCTAAAATGAGGTACCTCATATTACGGGACAAGGCGTCGCATATGAAGGTAAAGCATTTTCACCACTGGGTAACTAATATGGATGAGCGAAACAAAGGTTTTTCGTTAGACCTTCAATACTAAACTCGGAATCTTCTCCGTACAAACTACAAATAGAAGAAGCTGTGAAGAGAAAAAAGAAAAGGGGCAAAAAAAGGAAAAACAAAGAAAGCCAAGGAAAAGTGCTGCAAAAGGAAAAGGAACTGGGAAAAGGCCTGTGAAGAGGAAAGTTTTTACTGAATCATCAACGTCCAGTGAAGATGATGACACTGTTTCGCACACCACGGATTTTCCTTCAGAAGACGAGGAAGACGATGCAGACGCAGAGTGTCCATATTGCGCCGGTTTGTATTCCGAAGATACGCGATGTGAAAAGTGGAAGAAATGCCAGGCCTATTTCAAATGGGCACATCTAGAATGTGGAGAAATGAAATCAAAAAAGTTTATTTGTGCCGTTTGTTATTAAGGTAGAAAACCTAAACTTTTTTTTATTTTGTTCACAGAATTACCTATTCGTTGTTTTAAGAGAAAATGTTACTTTGTTTAAAGAAAGAAATGTTTTTTGTTTTTGAGAAAGCCATACCTAAATATGTTTTATGTTCTGTTTATTCAATAAAAATATGTTTGAGCAAACAATAGGTCATTCTCAGCTTTATTCCCTAATTTGAGATAGTCTCATATTGAGAACTCATACTGTCTCAAATTGGGAACCCCTTTTTCGATTAGGCAAATATTACTTTTCTGATGAAATCTAACTTAAAAACTAAAATACAAATTTGAGGCGATCTCGTTTTTCTTTAAGGATCTAGATTAAATTCCCTTCAGAAAAACGTTAATTTTCCAAGAAAAATGTTAAAATTGAAAAAAAAACATAATTTTTTTAAAAAAGGTGTCTCATAATTAGACATCTTCACCCTAACGTTGTTCAACTGAAGTATAGCCGATTTTATTGGAAAAAATCTGAATTTTGCTGACAACATTCGATTAATCGGTATTTTTATACTAGAGACTTAGCAAATCTTTTTTATTTCTCTTTTTTATCCTTTTTTATTTTTTTTTAATTCACAAATGCTTGCATCAAAATCATGTAAGAGAACTGATTGCTCACTAAACCGAGCGACTGCTATGACTACTTCGTATATAAATCTATCGAGATTTACTANTAGTATGGATGAGCGAAACAAAGGTTTTTCGTTAGACCTTCAATACTAAACTCGGAATCTTCTCCGTACAAACTACAAATAGAAGAAGCTGTGAAGAGAAAAAAGAAAAGGGGCAAAAAAAGGAAAAACAAAGAAAGCCAAGGAAAAGTGCTGCAAAAGGAAAAGGAACTGGGAAAAGGCCTGTGAAGAGGAAAGTTTTTACTGAATCATCAACGTCCAGTGAAGATGATGACACTGTTTCGCACACCACGGATTTTCCTTCAGAAGACGAGGAAGACGATGCAGACGCAGAGTGTCCATATTGCGCCGGTTTGTATTCCGAAGATACGCGATGTGAAAAGTGGAAGAAATGCCAGGCCTATTTCAAATGGGCACATCTAGAATGTGGAGAAATGAAATCAAAAAAGTTTATTTGTGCCGTTTGTTATTAAGGTAGAAAACCTAAACTTTTTTTTATTTTGTTCACAGAATTACCTATTCGTTGTTTTAAGAGAAAATGTTACTTTGTTTAAAGAAAAAATGTTTTTTGTTTTTGAGAAAGCCATACCTAAATATGTTTTATGTTCTGTTTATTCAATAAAAATATGTTTGAGCAAACAATAGGTCATTCTCAGCTTTATTCCCTAATTTGAGATAGTCTCATATTGAGAACTCATACTGTCTCAAATTGGGAACCCCTTTTTCGATTAGGCAAATATTACTTTTCTGATGAAATCTAACTTAAAAACTAAAATACAAATTTGAGGCGATCTCGTTTTTCTTTAAGGATCTAGATTAAATTCCCTTCAGAAAAACGTTAATTTTCCAAGAAAAATGTTAAAATTGAAAAAAAAACATAATTTTTTTAAAAAAGGTGTCTCATAATTAGACATCTTCACCCTAACGTTGTTCAACTGAAGTATAGCCGATTTTATTGGAAAAAATCAGGATTTTGCTGACAACATTCGATTAATCGGTATTTTTATACTGGAGACTTAGCAAATCTTTTTTATTTCTCTTTTTTATCCTTTTTTATTTTTTTTTAATTCACAAATGCTTGCATCAAAATCATGTAAGAGAACTGATTGCTCACTAAACCGAGCGACTGCTATGACTACTTCGTATATAAATCTATCGAGATTTACTATGTTTTCACTATAAAAATACCGACTAAAGATGCTAAAATGCTAATTATCTTCTACAGAAATATTCTGTACTATATTTTTGGTAAAATCTAACGGAAGATTAGAAAAGAACGGAAAATTTTACGTTAGAAATGGTACTGCTTGTATTTGTTGAGAATTTTAAAATATCGCAAGAGGTCACCAAGTATGTCGGATTCGCCTTGGTGTGGATGAATCAAATAACGAGTTTTACTCGTCATATCACAAAAAACAAGAATTATGCTCATCTCGAAATTTCGGCTACTTTAAAATGTCACAATAAATTATCATTTAGATCACCTTTAAATAAAATACATGGAGCCCCCAAAAGGAGCAAAAAATAGTTTTTTTTTACTTATACAATATTAGTATGAATTTCTGTAGACGTGGAAAAGTGTGGCCGTAGAAACAGTATAGTGTGCACCTTATACAGAAATGCTAATCTCTTACTAGTTCGAATTGCAGCACACGTGCTGCAACTTTTTCAAATTCGTCTCAAAAACAATCTCTCGTATTTGTATGTGGCATGTTGATTTATGCTATAACAATATTTTCTAACAGCATGAATATTTGAACGTTTTTTAAAGAACTATGTAGAGACAAGGGAAGTTCAACATTAATAAGTCTATAAAGGAACTTTGCATATACATACATTATCCTACCACAAATGTTATGTAAGGAATTAGAAGATATGGAACATCATAAACAAGACTTTGTTACACTGTAGCACAAAGTAACGTGCTAAAAATCAATATGTGGGTATATTAAATATTTAAAAAGTTTTAATTTTGTCTTCAGTTAATTTTTTATCATGATGCCCATTCTATTACTGACTCATTAACAGATATAATATATCACATATTGCATCTCTTACGAGATTAGAACCAATACACATCATTGCAGATTTATTTGAATTTATTCTAAGATCATTATTATTCGTTCACCAATAATTATAAATATTATCCAGACAACAATTGATTCACAAATACAAGATAACGTTGGTAATAAAAGCTCAAAAGATACTAAATCGAATACATTACTTAAATCTAATAATATTAACATCATTGAGAGTGATTTATCAAATGCCATTACAATATCATCGACAATTTTTAATATAGCACTTGTAAAATTTGATTTCATTCTAGATAGTGACTACAATCCTCTTAGAAACTTTTGGAAATACTAGAGTATAGATTATATTGACCTTAGTTCCTTATAAGTACTATTTATTTATTTAATTTTTCAGATATCTGGACATATATTAATTAAACTATTAAAAATATTTACAGCAACTTCAACACAATAAAGGATTACAGTCTTAATAATTTTTATATTAATTTCATCCCATATAGCACCCAATATATACAACTTGCAAATATAAACATTTTAAGCCTTTTTCTTACAAAGGCGTTGTAACGCAATCTATTTTATATGTACCGATAATTTGAGGACCTACCAATTAATTATTGGTTAACTAATGATGTTACTAGATTGTAACCACTATATTCGAAAGAACAGAATTACTAAACTTTATTTTGAGATTGTTGCTTTGCGGTGCAATTTTTTTAAATGTAATATTAATTTGCCGCTACAAAATAATAGCTGCACCAAAATAATATCACTTATTGAAATTGTAAAGTTAATATTAGAAACAACAACTAATATTTACATAAAAAGTATAAAAAAATTGGATAATATTAAATATGAAAATAAATAGACCTTCCTGTAGAGTAATATTTTTCAGCATTGTGCAATATTTTTTATTAAATTTGTTTTTCGAGAATTTTGAAGGATTTAACATGTCTGTGTCAAACTTTCAAAAAAAAAATATAGTCTCGCAGATTTAGAAAGCATACAGATTATCATAAGTACGCTTTGTATTCACGCCAGAATGGCGTAATAAAAGTTTAAAGGTGCAGCATTTCCTGCTCCCTATAACACAAGTTTTTTGAAATAACTCTAAAGAAATAAAGTTAGTAGGATTGCTGATCTGTATCTTAACGCGGATAAAGTGTACAGATTTATCTATTGTAGTATCTCGGTTGGGAATTGCTATAAGAACAAAATGATAATGCAAATGTTGTAGATTCTTTTCCGAATTTTTGAACGTTGACTGAGCTAAACGTATAACATATAAATATTTTTTAAATACCACAAGCAAAATATGTAGAGAGATTATATTATCAGTCAAATATTTGTCTTACTCATTCTGCATATGAGACTATTTTGAGCATATCTTCCGCGCTATTATTAAATAGAATATTGTATCACTGTAAATCATGAAAAAACATTCTTAATTATCGTGTTTGGGTTTCCTTTTTTTCTTGTTTTTTTATATCATTCTAAAAATTAAGAAAAATATCTGCTAGTTTTGGCATTTACTTATATTTACAGCTTTTTACTCTTCTAATCTGCTAGTGTTGGCATTTACTTATATTTACAGCTTTTTACTCTTAAAAATATATTACCCTAAAATCAAAACATTCCAGACGATGATGAAAAAATTCAGCCTGAGGAAGTTATAAGGATAAAACGAAACATATACAAACGATAATATTTGTGAATATTTATTTTCTTAACTATTCATATGGGAAAATTTGGGATTGTAAGTAGTACTAATTATTGTCATCCAAAAAACGTAGTTTAAATCTAATGCAAATATTATTATTCCTATACGTTATATTTTGATAAGATCAACATAAATGTAACTCGAAATATATTTTTTAAAAATTTACATAAAATAAGGAAAACTGTTTAACAGTCAATTTTTATAACCTGCGTTTGTTGTTATATCATTACTTCTTAACTTTGTTCTACATTTATCTAAATAAAGAAACAAGATGATCATAAAATAGGTAGCCTTGTTTTCAGTCAGTCGAATACGATACGGGCAAACCCACATATAAATATCTACGTATACAGGATTTAGAAAAACAGTTGAAGATAAGTGGAACGTCCTTTCTTCATTAAAATAATATTGCATGCCTATTGTGTTACTACATTCAACATATTAAGGGAAATCGAACCAATTCCAAAGCTAGAAATGTGAAATTACTTTATTTGAAGTTATAAATAATAATAAATGACACTTTATTGGAAACTAAAGTGTCCAATTTAGATATTGTTAGTTTTTATATTGTTCAAAGGCAAAGATTAGATACTTAAAATAATTACTGAACAAGGTGATTTAAATGGAATGTCAACGGAAACCACTAAGTTTAATTTATCATTTTTAAAATAAAAAATAATAGAAATGAATACAGTATTCACCTGAATTCATTCTTTACGTATTTCTCATTCATTGAAATCAAATAAATCGTCAAATATCTTGTCGAAAACAAATTTGGATTTAAAATTGTCCATGCCACCCCATTTTTTTATACTTCTTATTCGGCGTTCTCCGTTGCCCTTGAAAATAACAGGTATCATAAAATAACTCCTGAATAGTTACTATAAGTGTAAAATATTTTGTATTTATAGGGTACACTCTTTTTTTGGAACCCTTAAGAACCCTTTTTCATATTAACTGATAAAAACACAGTAATTTTTATTTTATTCCCGTAAATATTTACTGAAACAGTACGGGGAAATATTATCTATTTGTAAAGCATGTTCAAGGTACTTACGTGTAATAAACAAATCATTCCTTGTTAAGCAATCGATATTTCATACAGTGTCGACGCCACTGCCTAGCGGCTCGGATTGCCTTAGGCTTACTGTTATTATCTACTGGAAGTCTTCTAGCCTTTGCTACCGCTCCTTCATTTGCCATAACATCAAAATGACCAGAATAAAACGATCCGACAAAAATGCATTGAACGATTATTTATTATATCTTTAGAATATATTAAAACATTATGATTTAATACGTACTGAGGACTGATGGTAATGGTTACTGCCCTTAAGGTAATGGTTTAGAGAGATGGAAAGGAGCAGTTCCCTTCTTTTTATAAATTTTAAATTGCAGTAGTAGACAAAATCATTATGAATAACCAGTTTCTATATGACACAGAAAACTAGACACGCAGTGATTGGGATTTTATTTCACTAATTTTTGGTATACGTATTTAGGAGATTGTGGCAATAATTAATTAAAACTTGAAAGCAACTGATAAACAATAATGAATTAAACTTAACGTATTGATCGTCCATACTGCGCTATTAGTCTTCCACTATCACTATATCTATCACTATCGCTATCACTGCCACTACCACTATCACTATAACTATCACTGTCACTATCACTACACTACCACTACCACTATCACTACCACTACCACTATCACTAC